GAAGAGAGAACTTCCTGCTTTTGCTAATCTCTTGGTTGCTTCACTGTCCTGTTTGGCTTTTCAACATCTTTCAGCACTTACATAATCAATTCTAAGCATTTAATGCCCTCTGTTTAAAACTAAGTACTTTCTGTTTTCCCACTGGAACCTGATTGATAACTGTGCTATATTTCTTTAAATGCCAGTAACATTTAATTATGTGTTTGCATCTGTGGCCCTCAGAGAGGTTCCCTTATACACTCAACTCCCTCTAGTACCAGCTGACCCTAGATCTAGAATAACCTCCATAAGAGTAGTTGTTTCCAGAAGTTCCTGTTAATATACAAGGGTTTTGCATAATTTTTTTTTTCTAGGCCATACCTTCCAAAAGGAACTTGAGGCTGAGTTACAATTCACATTCTCATAGAGACAAAAATCCAGAGATTCTGTAACTCTTACTGGAGCAAATCTAAGATAAACCAACCACTCTCTCCACCAGAGGAACTTATATTTAAAGCAAACTCAATGTGAAAGAAGGAATTTTGAAGTACCCACGTTCTTCCCCTGGGTAACTTTTATGGGCAGGAGTGGTGAGGCAGGACATGTTGGAGAGCTTCAGGCAGAGACTTTTCTCAGCCCATGACAATGACATTGTGGGGCAGGATCTCTGCTTGTTATAATTCCTCTCTAGACAAGAAGAAAATTCTAGCCACTCCAGAAAAATCTCCAAGATTAATTAAACTCAATGAACTATTTTTAAGCCAAAGTTTAGTTCATATAAAGTCTAATCAATCGAGTTAATGGAAATACCAATTTTTTTTAGTGTATGGCAACATAGATTTAATTTTTGCTGCAAATAATACATTTTTTCCATTATTGACTAACTCTGCTGCACAAAAAGCAATCACACTGAATCTTAATTCATCAAGGTCATGTTCCATAAACTTCTTGCAGACTTCTGTAGCATTTGCTAACAAAGTTTCGTCACTAGTTTCCCCATTACTAATTGAACATGGTTTTCATCCCTCTAATTCATAGAGATGCCTGTTTATATGAACTGATACATTCTATTCACTAACACTGAGTATTTGATACACATCAGTCATGTTGCAAGGTTTTACCATACAGGTAAGAATGAGGCATGTAGGCAAAACTGTGAAGGAGTTCAAGTTCACCTTGGTTATCCTAGCACTCAGATCATTGACTCTGGTATCATGATAACCTTCTTTCTGTCATCGTCTTTATTCCCACCAAAACTTGTCACATAAAGATTAGTTATATTAAAGTGTAAATGACTGGTGGGGACTTAAAAAATTATCTTCTGAGGGGAGTTTGCATTTCAGTGGAGATTGAAACCTTTACATCAAAAACGTAATCCTTTTCAGTACAATTTGAAAGGAGCAATTTGAGATGGTTATCCAAGGACCAGGATGCCTTCCCAGACTCCGAAATGACACCACTATTCTCTGGCCTACATTTTCTGCAGCCCCATCCAGAAGGTACTCAAAGACTTTTGCCAAATATTCCACTCAGTTGCCATTTCTGATAAAATGTGTATAGAGCTACATACATGTTCAAAAACCTTGTACTAGAAATAAAGGACTTCCCTATCAATAGTCCCATGAGTATTTCAAAATGTAATCTTGCTCTTTCTCTTCCCTTCCTTTGGCAGAACAAGGCAGCCCAGCACAGAGCATCCATTCAATGTGGGGATGAGAAGCTCGGGGTGGTAATGGGTTACTCATTACACACAGAAGAACCGGCCAAATAAGTAAATGTGTTGAGGATAATGGGAGCCCAGCTTCTCACTGTTGGAGAAGGGAATTACAAATATGGAAATGGGCAACTAGAATGAACCCTGAAGCAATAGATTGGAAGTAGAGATATGAATTTGAAATCAGGATTTTATTAGAAATAAATATAGAAATATAGATGTTGAATATGTGTACACACATTATGTTGTATGCACATGTATGTGTATGCATACCTGACTTTCATCCATGGAATGAACTTAGGAGTAGCCACCCTGCAATAGAAATGAGGTTATCTAGTACCCAGACCTTGGTTTTTCTCACTACTATTCTTCACTAAAGAAAACAGGGTTTTTGGAGAAAGGTAGGTTCCAGGGCTAAGGAAGGGAAAGCGATGCAGCAGGAATCACACTGCGGTCAGACAGTAAGGAGGAGATGGCAGGTCAGAAGGACACAGAAGCTATCTTCAAGGTGCTCCTACTGGCCAAATCAAGAAAAATTTGTGCATGAGACAATATTAGCTATAACAGCAATAATGATAATAACAGATATAGCCCCCTGAATAAAATATGAATTGTTAAATCCACAATAGAAATAAATGAACAAATTAGAGGTTTAATGAGAAACAGGATACTTACAGGTCTCAAAGCACATCTCCACACTAATATTTGCTAATTGCAAAGGATAAAAGAGCAACTTTGCAATGGAGGAGTCTACAAACAATCTTTTAATCAAGTGATGAAAGTGAATATTCTCTGTAAGAAGGTAACAAAGTCAGTTGCCCAAGAGGATGTAAGGACAAGAACACAACATCCAGCATTGCTTTTGTGATATTCCTGCCAGTGAGACATCATCTGAATCTAATTATTAGGAAAATTAAACAACCCAAACTGAGGAACATTCTATAAAATAACTAATCTATAATGTTCAAAAGTGTCAAGATCATGAAAACCAAGGAAAGACTGAGAATCTGTTCCCAATTGAGAGAAACATGATAATTAAATGAACAAGTTATTCTTAAATGGATTAGGTGGTAATGATAAAGCAATGTTAACCTCGTGGTTGTTTTAGCTATATTGTGGTTATGCAGGACAACACCCTAACTTATAGGAAATATACACAGAAGTTTGTGTATATGTAAATACACATGCTAATGTTTGATGATACAGTAGCAGGTTGGCAACTTACTCTCAAATAATTCAGGGGGGAAAACGGCTTTTGCACTGTTTGCAATTTTTCTATGAGTTTAAGATTATTTTCCAAATAAAAAGTACAAAAATGTAATCTCATTCTTAGGCCATACCTTCCAAAAGGAACTTGAGGCTGAGTTACAATTCACATTCTCATAGAGACAAAAATCCAGAGATTCTGTAACTCTTACTGGAGCAAATCTAAGATAAACCAACCACTCTCTCCACCAGAGGAACTTATATTTAAAGCAAACTCAATGTGAAAGAAGGAATTTTGAAGTACCCACGTTCTTCCCCTGGGTGACTTTTATGGGCAGGAGTGGTGAGGCAGGACATGTTGGAGAGCTTCAGGCAGAGACTTTTCTCAGCCCATGACAATGACATTGTGGGGCAGGATCTCTGCTTGTTATAATTCCTCTCTAGACAAGAAGAAAATTCTAGCCACTCCAGAAAAATCTCCAAGATTAATTAAACTCAATGAACTATTTTTAAGCCAAAGTTTAGTTCATATAAAGTCTAATCAATCGAGTTAATGGAAATACCAATTTTTTTTAGTGTATGGCAACATAGATTTAATTTTTGCTGCAAATAATACATTTTTTCCATTATTGACTAACTCTGCTGCACAAAAAGCAATCACACTGAATCTTAATTCATCAAGGTCATGTTCCATAAACTTCTTGCAGACTTCTGTAGCATTTGCTAACAAAGTTTCGTCACTAGTTTCCCCATTACTAATTGAACATGGTTTTCATCCCTCTAATTCATAGAGATGCCTGTTTATATGAACTGATACATTCTATTCACTAACACTGAGTATTTGATACACATCAGTCATGTTGCAAGGTTTTACCATACAGGTAAGAATGAGGCATGTAGGCAAAACTGTGAAGGAGTTCAAGTTCACCTTGGTTATCCTAGCACTCAGATCATTGACTCTGGTATCATGATAACCTTCTTTCTGTCATCGTCTTTATTCCCACCAAAACTTGTCACATAAAGATTAGTTATATTAAAGTGTAAATGACTGGTGGGGACTTAAAAAATTATCTTCTGAGGGGAGTTTGCATTTCAGTGGAGATTGAAACCTTTACATCAAAAACGTAATCCTTTTCAGTACAATTTGAAAGGAGCAATTTGAGATGGTTATCCAAGGACCAGGATGCCTTCCCAGACTCCGAAATGACACCACTATTCTCTGGCCTACATTTTCTGCAGCCCCATCCAGAAGGTACTCAAAGACTTTTGCCAAATATTCCACTCAGTTGCCATTTCTGATAAAATGTGTATAGAGCTACATACATGTTCAAAAACCTTGTACTAGAAATAAAGGACTTCCCTATCAATAGTCCCATGAGTATTTCAAAATGTAATCTTGCTCTTTCTCTTCCCTTCCTTTGGCAGAACAAGGCAGCCCAGCGCAGAGCATCCATTCAATGTGGGGATGAGAAGCTCGGGGTGGTAATGGGTTACTCATTACACACAGAAGAACCGGCCAAATAAGTAAATGTGTTGAGGATAATGGGAGCCCAGCTTCTCACTGTTGGAGAAGGGAATTACAAATATGGAAATGGGCAACTAGAATGAACCCTGAAGCAATAGATTGGAAGTAGAGATATGAATTTGAAATCAGGATTTTATTAGAAATAAATATAGAAATATAGATGTTGAATATGTGTACACACATTATGTTGTATGCACATGTATGTGTATGCATACCTGACTTTCATCCATGGAATGAACTTAGGAGTAGCCACCCTGCAATAGAAATGAGGTTATCTAGTACCCAGACCTTGGTTTTTCTCACTACTATTCTTCACTAAAGAAAACAGGGTTTTTGGAGAAAGGTAGGTTCCAGGGCTAAGGAAGGGAAAACGATGCAGCAGGAATCACACTGCGGTCAGACAGTAAGGAGGAGATGGCAGGTCAGAAGGACACAGAAGCTATCTTCAAGGTGCTCCTACTGGCCAAATCAAGAAAAATTTGTGCATGAGACAATATTAGCTATAACAGCAATAATGATAATAACAGATATAGCCCCCTGAATAAAATATGAATTGTTAAATCCACAATAGAAATAAATGAACAAATTAGAGGTTTAATGAGAAACAGGATACTTACAGGTCTCAAAGCACATCTCCACACTAATATTTGCTAATTGCAAAGGATAAAAGAGCAACTTTGCAATGGAGGAGTCTACAAACAATCTTTTAATCAAGTGATGAAAGTGAATATTCTCTGTAAGAAGGTAACAAAGTCAGTTGCCCAAGAGGATGTAAGGACAAGAACACAACATCCAGCATTGCTTTTGTGACATTCCTGCCAGTGAGACATCATCTGAATCTAATTATTAGGAAAATTAAACAACCCAAACTGAGGAACATTCTATAAAATAACTAATCTATAATGTTCAAAAGTGTCAAGATCATGAAAACCAAGGAAAGACTGAGAATCTGTTCCCAATTGAGAGAAACATGATAATTAAATGAACAAGTTATTCTTAAATGGATTAGGTGGTAATGATAAAGCAATGTTAACCTCGTGGTTGTTTTAGCTATATTGTGGTTATGCAGGACAACACCCTAACTTATAGGAAATATACACAGAAGTTTGTGTATATGTAAATACACATGCTAATGTTTGATGATACAGTAGCAGGTTGGCAACTTACTCTCAAATAATTCAGGGGGGAAAACGGCTTTTGCACTGTTTGCAATTTTTCTATGAGTTTAAGATTATTTTCCAAATAAAAAGTACAAAAATGTAATCTCATTCTTTGTCTTGCATATGCAAGTCTCTGGTACAGTTCAAAGTTTGTTTCATTTTTTTTATTATGGTTGAATCCAATTTAAAATAAAATACAATGTTTTAACAAACATAAATCCAATACATGTTGGAAACAAGATTTACACTACTATTTATAACTCTTTAATCTTATCAGAAGTTAACAACTTTAACACATACTTAGACCTTTTGTCTCTAAGAGATAAATAAATGATCTATCTTCAAGGAAATTAGTGCTGTGTAGACTTTTAGTCTACTAAAGTCCAAATTGTGGTAAAAAAAAAATGCAATACTGTAGCACAAACCATAAATTACAAAGTGGTAATCCTCATACACAGCAATTAGAATCCTCATCCTACATGCCCCTCCAGATATAGCAACTTAATTTACTCTGAGAAAACAGACTTCCTTCTGTGACTAGGATACTTAGCAATATGTCTTTTCAAACTGAAGAAATGCCTTCCCCTTCAACATTGGTATTTTCCAAACCATTAGAACTTCTGGTTTACACAGGTCGATTTTATAAGTATTTGTTTAAGAAGAAATAACTTGCATGAGATAACTTATAATTTACTTGTCACATTAACTTACAGTGCATTTGATCACAAGCAGCAAGATAATTACCAAAGATGTCAAATAAAAATTGTTAAAATATTCAACTCATTCAATATCATCTGTCAATGTCCTGCAAGTCCTCAAGCTAGATACCAGGAGGGACAATAAATAGGACCACGGCAGCTAGCCTTCAGGAGCTCATCTTCAGCAATGCCATACCTCATTGTTACACAAGTCACTGATTCTCAATGATTCTATCAAGAAGAGCATTACAGAATAATTTCCATTATTAAAATCTACCTCCAGAGGAAGAGAGGTGTTTGAAACAAATCATCAAAAACAAGGAAACTCAGTTAAACTGCTCTCAGAAGATAACAAGTGTAGTGTGTTCAAGCCTAAATGTGGTTAAGGTATTGCTTAGGGTCACTCCATTTGTACCAAAAAGAGCAAAAGGACATCCCTCATTCTTGTTCACCAAAAATGTACAAGAGATAATAGGTTAAGATGAGTTATTAAGAACCAATTCATAAGATTCCTTAAGAGACTGAGGGACATGTGTAAAGGGGAGGTGAGCTTTGCCGTGGAAACGGGTTGACAGGTCTGTGGGCTGACTGTATTTATATTAAAGTTGAGTAATTTTTTCCACACCAGTGGACAGATCAGCAGCCTGCATGGGATTGCTCCCTGCTGTGTTGCCAAAACACAACAAAAACAGGCAACCACTGGGCTGCTCTGCCTGCACTTGTAATCTGCTAGTTTCAAACTATGTTCAGTGCCACAAACTAGCAAGCATTGCATCTGATCAGTTTTTGCCACTTTTTCATGAACACCACCGAGTGACTGTGATATATGGCATAACTCATTAAGGTCTGAATAGCTGTTTATATCCTGAGGAATTTCTCACAAAAATTGTATGGGTTATTTTTGAGCTGTGGAGTAGATGCAATAAGCAGCTATAACCTACCAACCATATGTCTCATATTGTTCATTTTATTAAAGGCACCCTGCCATGAGAATCAGCAATATAATGACAAATCTACTTCAAAAGAAATACTACCTATTTTTCATGAACTGGAAAGATATCAAGACATTAAGCAGAATCACTCATTCAGAAAAAGGTATCACAATCCTATCATTCTGGAAATGAATATAAATTTGTCACCACATATCACTGGGAGATGTGACTGATTCAGTCTCTACAGCAAGGGAAAGTTTTTCATACCTTCTGAGGTTTGCAATGCCCCCCAGGTTTTCATGCAGGTGAACAGATGTATCTCATGGATTTACACAAGCTTCAAATAATGTTTGCTGCTTCAACACCCATGAGTGCAAATCGGAAACAGATGAGTTAGTTTGATTAAAGAGATCTGATTTTCTTTGTGGTGCTAAAGTGGATAGCAAAGTAGTACCATAAGTGAGAATTCTAGGAAGGAACTCTTAGGAAGTACTTTTGTGTTCGGTTGTGTTTTCCCTCCACAGCTGTAGCTAGTGTGGTCCCTTGGGGACAACTGCTACTGGAAAGAAGCTCTCACTTTGCGGCCCCTCAGAGGCTGTGGCGGGCGGTGATTGCTCAGCAAAGAAGCCGCTGCTTCGCCCTCCTCTGTACACAGAAGGGTGCGGAATATGGCCAGCTGTTGAAGAAAAGGGAAGAGCATTTCAGCATAGCAAGTCACACCAATGTTAATGAACTGCCCTGCACAGAAAGTTGAGAAACATATCATTTTTCTTCCACTAGAAACTAAAAATTTGGCCATGAAAATTTTCGAAGTTATGGCTCATACATAATAAAGCAACTCTTCAGTGAAATTCTCATGACCCTACAAATATCTAAGGGCTCAGAAATTAAGTATATAACCATTCTTTACTTGAAGATCAAGTGATAAAAGAGGCAACAACATTTAGTATGTGACTTAAAAATTTCTAGAAATTAGAGAATGTCATCTACAAAGGCAGAAGATGACAGTGGAAAGGGCCCTTGGCTGGCTTTTCGACCAAGGCCCCAGTCCTGATTCTTCTACCAACCAGCCGTGTGACCTCAGGCAAGCTGCTCATCGTCTCTAGTCTTCATTTCCTCATCTATAAAGGGAAGCATTAGATTAGATCACCTCAGCAGGTGTCTTCCAGTTCTGGGAATGACACTAAAGCACTTACAAGCACTCCAATGTAACAGGGCCGCTATTTCCATGGGAACCCTGTGGTGTTCATCCTATAAAATTTTGATCTTTTAAGTACTGTTTACCTTAAACAATAATTTGCTTTCACCATACTTGTGCCTTCTACACAACTACCCATGAAAAAAACCTAGGCCCCTTCAATCTCTGATGATGTTTAAATACAATTTAAGTAGCATAGATACATTTCTCACCAAAAGAGCTTAACTTTTCTTATTACAGAACAATGTTTACTTACCTGACAAACCTCATACAATACAAAAGTATCCAGAAGAAAATCAAAATTACTAGTAATCACATCACAAGACATAACAACTATTAGCATTATGGAGTACATCCTTCCAGATGTTTTTCAATGTATAAAAACACACACACATACGTGTGCCATGACATGTTTTATTACAAAAATGAGCTCTACTATAGACACTCCTGTGAAACCTATTTTTTTAACTTTATGTCCTAGACATTTTTACATCTCAGTAAATATAAATCAATTTCACTATTTTTAATTGCTGAAAAGTTGTCTATTATGAGCATGTTTTATAACTTACTTAATAATTCCCTGGTGATTTAATATTATTTATTACAATTTAGCATAGGTCTAGAGCAGTAAAATGAAGACTGGATAAGTGTGGATAAAATGAAAGTTCCTGTGGCCAGGATTCTCACCTGGCCCTGGTTGGCTAGCTCACTACACACGTGTGGGCAATACGTTGCTATTGACTCTATATAAAGAGCTCCGCCCAGTCGCTCTGGGTGACATGGTGGCAGGGCTGCAAAGCTGCAGGAGAGCAGAGCAGAGGCTGGAGTGGTGGCAGTGCCAAGGACAGAGGCCCAGAGGACAACTGTGCAGGCAGAGAGGCCCAGAGGCAGAGACCAGCTTGCTGCATGCAGATTTGCTCTGAGTGATTGGGATTTTAGTGACTGACCTGCCACTGTGGAAATAAAGTTGGGCATAACCCTTTCACCCCAAGAATGTTTTACTGTCATTTCTTTGATCACATTGAATCCATAGTGAACTTGCCCAGGGCTGAAACCCACTGGCAAGACAGAAAGTTACCTGAATAACTTATACAAGCAGCCAAGTATTTCCACAAATGGTATTTTGAGGTGTCTTTTAAAAAGCTATAGATATGGGAAAGATAAGACAAGTATTTTCAACGTGCTATTTCACATGCTTCATTACACCAGATCATTACAGGTAAAGCCAAATGAGACTTAAGTGATTCTCTGGTGCCAAGCAGCACAGGCTAATAAAGTTTAACCTCCAGAGCCACGGGGAAGACACCAGCCTCCCGCAGATCACAGTGATCTACCATGGCCGCTCCAGGTGGCTGTATCAGGGCACTGACTCAGCCACCTCACCAAGCGAACGGGCCTCCCCGTTAAACTGCTGCTTGCTCTGAAGACTTTGGCTTTGTTTATCCCTCCTGCCCACCTTGGCCTCCTCTGCAAGGTGGGCATGGCCCCCTACCTCAGCAACACCTTCACCTCAGGGGTCTAGAAGCGGAATTTCCCTGACCTGCCTGCTCCTTTCGGTAGCACGCCCTAAGCCTGTGCTGCTGTCCCACTACACCCTTTCCCCTTTGGCTCTGGATCTCCCTCCTAATGACTTAGCCGAGCTCGGCAGACCCTGCCTCTGCCAGTCCCCACTCAAACTTGCTTCTCTATCTAGTTCTGGTGTCCACCATAGCACCGGCCTCAAAATGCACACTCCTGGCTGACCTTCCCAATCTCATCCCTTCAGCGAGCCCCTGGCTTCATTCAAACAGACACTCCGCCCCTCTGTCACTATGGCCGACTCAGCTTCTACACAGCGACCAGCAGGAGTCCCCAGTGAGGAGGGCCGAGGTGGGTATGGCCGGTTCTGTTGTTTTCTTTGGCTCTAACAGTGAAATGTTCATTACCTTGTTTAGTGACTACAGTGAGAGGAAATACTGTTTTCTAATGTTTTATAAACAGCTTTGATTGTGTCACTCTAGTGATCAAATGTCTTTAATAGCACTCCACTGCCTGCCCAAGTTGAGTAATAATATAAAGAAGCTCTCCAATGCAACATCATGGGCCAGGTACTGATCTAAGTGCTTTGCATTACATCATCTCATTTAATCCCCCAACAGCCTTATACATGATGTACCATTATCCCCATTTTAAAGATGAAGAACTCTGCTAGGAAGTTTCAATAAATAAGCCATCTGGCTAGTAAGCCCTGCACTAACCACAGGATTATATTGCATTTCTAACTTTTCTTTCTTTTTTTTTGCCACTTTTTTTTTAGCCACTTCCCCCAATCTCTTTTTATTTATGTTTTATTATGAGAAACTTTCAAACATACACAAGGTAGAAAGAGCAGCATAATAAACCACCATGAACCCGTCACTTTGCTTCAACAACCATCAACACTTAGCCAATATTGTTTCCTCCATATATTTTCTGCACTTCTATTTCTTGCCTTTATTTAGGCTGTACCTTCTTGAAATTACTTTCTTTTATTGCCCCCACCAGTTGCTACCTTTTAAGTGTCCAAATGTCAGCAATTTCATAAAATCATTTCCTGACCTCTCCAATGAAAGAGTTCCTCTCTTTAAACTTCTCTTACACCTTATATTCTCCTACAGTACAAACCACAGTCAATGTGTTACAGGTTTTTATGCATTTATTTTATCCCTGTTAGATTGCAAATTTCTTGAGGAAAAGGGCCATTTTTCACACTTCTTTGAATCTCTTCCATCATGTCTTATAAGAATTAGTAATTATTAAACAATTCTAGAATTGACTTGTACTATCTCATACAATTTAGAACTTTAATTTCAAAGCTAATTATATGGAGTTTTATACCTTAAGTCAAAATTAATATTCAAGCACATGAATTCTTTCTTCATTTCACACATAGTCTAAAGATGCAGAACCTAAGGAAAATATCCTTAGACCACTATCATTAATTACAACATATAAAATATTACAATTAAAAAAGGACATTAGTTTTGCTTCTTAAACTAAGACCCTCCAGACAACCTCCCTGTAGAAAACAACCCTAAAACCAGACATAATATGAAAACTAGTTGCAAGTACTAGAGAGTGAACAAAAGCAGAGGGACTCAGGTGGGGAGTTCATGCTCACTTAAGGGAGAGATGGAAGCTCTGCAAGTGAGCTCCTGTTCTTCACCTGGAGCTGAGCAGAGTCTGCAAGGTGCACACAGCTGCAATGGGGCCTACCTGTTTTGCAAGGAAAGGGCCAGAGACAGGATCCCCAAACCACATACCCAAGAACCACACATGGCTTTATGGAAACCAGAACTACTACACAAGAAAGAAAATCAACAGTTCAAGCCCAGTCAGGAAAATTACCTGCTAATACAAAGGAAATAAGGCTTATCAGAGAAAAATAACAGAATCCAGAATCTCCAGAAACTTAATATTCACAACATCTAGAATATAATTTTAAAAATTATCCAACATACAAAGAATAAAAAAAATGGAACACATTCTCAAAGAAAGAAAAATCAACAGAGTCAGACCCAAGATGAACCAAATTTGGAATTTACAAAGATTTCAAAGTGGCTACTTTAACTATCTGAGGGTTATACAAAGTTAATGCACCTTTTTAATGCATGAGAAATCTCATCAGAGTAATAGGAAGTATAATCAGAGGATAGAAATCATAAAGGAGAACCAATTAGAAATTTTAGAACTAAAATTTCTTAAACAAAAAATTCACTGGATTGATTAAACAGTCAATAAGCATATGAAAAAAGATTCAGTATCACTAGTCATCAGATAAAAGCCAATTTAAAAACACACTTACCCCCTAGAATGGCTTAAGTTAAAAACACTGACAACACCAAGGGCTGACAAGGATGTGAAACAACTAGAAATCTCATACATTGCTGGTAAGAATGGAAGACAGAACAGCAACATTAGAAAATAATATGCCATTATGATTAACACACATAATGTAAGGGGGTCATGGGACAGGCAGTATAGCACAGGGAAGACAAGTACTGACTCTATAGCATCTTACTATGCTGATAGGCAGTGACTGCAATAGGGTGTGGGGGGACTTGATAATATGGGTGAATGCAGTAACCACAATGTTGCTCATGTGAAACCTTCATAAGATTGTATATTAATGATACGTTAATTTAAAAAAAGAAAATCATATGCCAGTACCTTATAAAATTAAATATGAATTTACCATATGACCTAGTAAATCCAGTGCCAAGTATTGCCACAAACATGAAAATATGTGTCCACACAAAATTGTGTATGCTAATTATTCCTAACATCCAAATATGTATAGTTATCATTTATAATAGCCTGAAACTGGAAGTAACACAAATGTACATCAATTGGTCAATAATTAAAAAATTACAGTATTTCATTCAATAACAAAAATAAAATCAGTGAATCCAAGCACATCATGCTAAGAAAAGAAGTCAAACAAAAAAGTTTAGGAACTGTATGATTATGTTTAAAGAAAATTCTAGAAAAGAAAATTCTAGTGACAGTATCTCAGTGGTTGCCTGCAGCCATGGGTGGGGAAGAGGACAGGGTGCAAAAGGGCACAAGGAAACTTTTTTCAGCCAAGGGATCTATTCTACCCTTGATTGTAGTGGTTGTTTCATGGTGATATACAATAACCAAAATCATCAACTTCACACTAAAATTAATGAATTTCATTGTGTGCAAAAATTGCAACCAATGAAAAAGAGAAAAAAAAATTGAAAACGCATCACAGAATTAAAGCCAAGTGTTCTGCACATCAAATCCAGCAGATGAGTAAGCCAATTTAGATAATCTAGGATAACCGAAAGAGACTTGGCAAGAAAAGCCAGCTTTCCACAGAAAATGACAGATCTGTTACCAAAAGTATCAAAAACAGTATATCTGTTTACTGGCCTGGCAGTTAAACTAAGCATTTCAGTAAGTGATTCTGGAGGATAAAATGGACTTGAATCAAGAAAAAGAAAATGAAAACCATCTGATTTGCCCTTTAAGTCAAACAGTGACTTGGCAAGAAACAGCAGTAGAAAACTTAGAAAAAAATTGGCACCAACTTACTAAAAGGAGGATTTAACCTTCAAAGCTAGTGACATTATATATGGAATTGGAAAATAAATAAAAACGATGTTTCCCAGTGACTTCAAAATTAATGAGCTGCTTAAATGGAAATGAAAACTTGTCTTTGGAAAGTAACTCTTAACAGTGGTGCACACAAAAGACATTTTCCATTTACTTTTTATTAAAGAGTGAAGCAACTTAATAATTTTATCAGCCTTCTCATGCTTTGGATTTTTTAAAATAAATTTTCTATTTCAGAAACATCGGATCTACAGAATTATTATGAAAGAAGTAAAAATAGTTCTCATATACCCCACACTCAGTTTCCTATATTAACATCCTACATTAGAATGGTACATCTCTCTTAGTTAATGAATCAATATTAATATGTTGTTGTCATTAACTGAAGTCCATTCTTTATTTGGAATTCTGTTGTTTTTATTCAGATTTTTTAATGTCTTTGTCTGCTCTTGGATCCCACCAGGAATTGGCATTATACTTAGTAGTCATGTATGTCTCCTTGACCATTTCTTGATCATGACAATTTCTCAGACTTGTCTTGTTTTTGATGACCTTGACAGTTTTTAAGAGTGCCAATCAGCTATTTTATAGAAGTCCCTCAGTTGGGCTTTCTCGGATGTTTTTCTCATGGTTAGATTGGAATTGGGCTTTTAAAATACCTTTGGCTTCATTTTTTAACTCTTAAGATCACCATAACATTATATTATAGTGACTGGCATCACTACTTGTATAATTATTTCAATCTGGTTAAAAACGAAAATGTGTGCAAATGTTCCTGCTACAGTAGATTAAAGTCAATGCTTCAAAGTTAACTACCAATCGCACTAAAGCTCTAAAAAAAAAGCAAGCTATTATTTTACATACTCTACTGTGTAAAAAACCACAATAGTAATTTAAGCCTTAATTAAGATACAGTAGTGAATCTATAGCTAGGCAGTCATAATTTCTAATTTACAGGGACTTACTTTTGATTGAGTTAACTTTATATATTTTAAGGGACTAAATTATATATTTTGGTATATTCTCTTACAATTCACCATTGAGTTTTTGAAAAGTTAGTTTCCAAGTGGCTTTAGGAAAAAGATAAACTTGAAATATGAGGAAAAACATAATCCCCTAATTATTACTACACTGATATTACAATTTATTGACTCTTAACTATTAACCTGTTCAAATTTAACAATGGAATGTAAAAGCAAACAGTTTAGGACTTGAAGGAGAGAGAAATGAACTCCATTAATAAGGCCACGGAATCAGTGACAGGTCATTTTTCTCAAGACACAATGTACCTTATTTATCATGGAAAAAATTCACAGGAATTTCTGTGCCAGTCAAGTTCTGAGTTTCTCTCCAGACTTTTATAAAATGTCTTAATAGGTATGTTCCAGATTATTATTTGGCTTTAATACTAAAGACAAGGTCAAAAGGAATTGGATGCGTTCAATACCTCAAAGGGGAATGTTGCCTGACAGGACCTTGATAAAGGTGAACCAGCTCTAGCCTTTGATTAGAAGAAAAAAATAAACAGCTAGCCAGATAGGCTACCCTGGAGCAGAAGTGCTTAGCACAATAATTACTAACCCGTGTTCTTGCTAAGATTTTGCAGAAAGTAATTTAAAAAAGAAAATAAAAAAAGCAAACGAACCCACTAAGCACAGCCTCCCAGAACACACAGCATCCTCCTATCAGATTGGTCAGTTACATGGTTCAAAGATTGGAGCTGGGTTTCTGGGCATCAAAGACACCCTGCTTGGCTACTGTTGGGGCTCAATGAGCATTTATCAGAAAAACAATGAGGAAATGTCGTCAACAAAACAGCACAGGCAGGCACCTGACAGCATCTTAGTAAATGCTTAAAGCCACTCAGGCAGCCCTACAAAAGTTTTGGCAACAAAAGCCAAAAGATCAGATAGACTTCTTAAACTTACGCACATGCTTTTCCCAGGGCGCTACACACCCTCCCGCGGTTCTCACTGTTCAGTTTCTGCATGTGAACACTGTAGGAGAAGCCAGACTAGGGGCTGAGGTCAAAAAGGAGAACGTCATCTTAAGAGTAGCCTCTCTCCTGATTTTCCCATTTGTACCCCAGTCTGTTTCTATCAGGAACAAACAAAAGGAAACAAAAGCAAACAAGGATAGCCCTCCAAGTGGCACTCCACTTTCATCAGTGCCTGCATGCACTTTACATTTCTAAGAACTGAGAAAGAAATAATCTAATCATTGAAGGTCAGATTAGAAAGGGACATAAATTTCATCTGGTCCAACTACACATCTAATTAACAACGGGAAAACACAGACTTCACAATGCAGCAGAAATTAAAAGGCAAAGGTTTAAAAAAAAAAGATTCAGCCTAGTTTCCTCTAGCAAATCAGGATCAACATGGAAGAAGTGACTTACCTGCTGAGAGCTAATATTTACAGGTTGTTTTAAAACAATCCAAGTGACACTCTCCAGAAGAGGAGGGACTGTAAGGGAACCAGGGTAAGTCCAGTAGTCCCAGGACGGAGGAAGCAGAGACAATGGGTCAAAATTCGTGAATCGAGTTTGTTTACCCTGGTAGAAAAAAGAGAATTCCCACAAGTTACAATGGGAGAGCTTTACACAGACCTAAAAATAGCATACATCCAGTGAAATAATGTTTATTTAATTCATGGAATTATTTAGTATCTGCCTTTTGTATATTAAAAAAAAATGTATTTGCCTTAGTCTAAAAATTATAGATGAAATAGAGCATCACCTAGATTTATTTAACAAGCATAAGATTTGTTTTAACATGTGGTCTTGAAAATGTGTTGCAACTAAAAGCTTATTATGCAAAACTCCAATACCAGAAACTAATTATGTATAAATAGATTTGTTAGTGATGATTTTAGATAATTTATGACCCCTTCATAATTTTCAAAAGATAAGTGGTAATAGGTTGCTTCTGCTCCATTAGTCAAGGATGTTCCAAACCTACTTCAAAGCAGATAGCACATGTTCTATCTAAGGTCTAAGTTCCTAAAAGGAGATAAGAGAATTCAGGAGAAAACAAGAAATATATTAGTCATTAGCAGATAGTAATTCATTTTACCTTTTCTTTAATAGAATCCAAAATATCAGTGATCTTTTGCAGCTGGGAATTGCGTTCACCAATCTGAAAACATGAAATTTTAAAAGAAATGATTACTGAAGGATATCAGGTCTGAATTATTCCTTTTCGATCACTATTTTTAAATTCTTTTTTTGAAAAACCTAAGCCAGCCCAGAGCAAACAGTGATTGTTCTGTAATGAAGTTCTCTTTTACTTGCTGGCTTTATCATGCCAGAAGAATCAGAACAAGATAATATTACAGGGCTCCTTGGCTGAACTGTAAGTCTGATTCTAAAACTGATAGTAGTAGCTTCCTATTTTTTTTTTTGCTTTATATATGTTTAAGATACAGATTAACTTGAGATAAATCTTGCTTAAGAATAAGCTTTTTCATAATACCTGCACTATTAAACCAGTGTGACTTTCAGGCCCTATATCAAACTTACTATTGTGTGACATCAAAGCATTAAAGGAAATACCTCCCACTTTCAGCCTAAAATGATGTGAGGTCCCAGAGTAGTGTGATACATTACCATGTACAGAATTCATCAGAAAAATATATGCACCTCTTTTAGTTATTAGGGGTGCCCTGAATCTACCTAAAGGTTTTAAATCCTACATGATTAAAGTATCATCTCCTGCCCTCCTTGGGTCCCACTGCTACCACCAGACTTGGTGGCCAAAGGAAAGGGCCCGCTGTCATCATGCCATTCCCCACTCTGCTCCACGTTTCTACCCATCCCAGCTCCAGTGAGCAACAACCTCACACATACAGCTGGCAGCATAACAAAAGTGGATGCCCTGCGGGAATGTGGTCACAGTGGGAGCAGAGCTGCCTAACCCACCCACGGGTATTGTAACAATGACCCTCGACTGACCACACATGACCATCAGAAAAAAGAAAATACAACAAAAAGATTTTTTTTAATTGGTCAGGGTGTTTGGGACAACAAAGCATTGTGGTAAAACTAGTGCTTCAACAATTAGGAACTTCAAGTTTTATCTTGTATCTCTAAATATTGTGTAATTAGGAGGAGTCTAGGATAAAGATTCTTCTCAGCATCTCAGTCATTACTTCTGCTATTATTATTGCAATAAAGGACTCAGAAGACAATTCCTAGGGTAGTTCTGGGCTTTTAGATGAATCATAAACTAACATACAAACTTATTCATTTCAAAAGGAAAATATTAAACCTAGAATTACCTTACTATGAAAAAACGGTAGACTGTTTCTTCCCTGACCAAAACTCTTTATCTAACATGGCTGATAATTATTTAAAATAAAATCAGTCGATTCTCACCTGTAAAAATATTCCCAAGACAGCTAGTCCATCTGGCTCATGAGCTGCCTCAACAAAGCTGGGGTATTTGTCTGAATTCCAGTGAACAACATGGAGCTGAAAGGGAAGTGCACTCACATGTATAATGTATTCTTCAAAAGGACTTTAGACAGAATCCTCCTATTGACTTTTGTCTACAAACGAAAGTACAGGGAAGGGAGTTAAGGACCACGGGTGCTTAGCTAGTCTGTGTTGTACTACATTAAGGTCTGCACCCCCGTTTAGAATCCTGCCAAGCCTCTCTGGCCCCACCTCTACCCACTGCTCCCAAGCATCCTGGGCTCCTTCGTCTTCCACAGACGGGATTTCAACCGGGCAGCCTCGGGCAGACCCCAGCGGGCAGCAGAGGCCCCTGAACACCTTCGGCTCGCAGGTGGGCGGAGCAGCCGCCTACCTACGCAAAAGGCTCTGCGGGAGGCGTCGCCACTTCCTGAAACTGTCCAGCCAGATGTTCATCACTGTAGTTTAGACTTTTCACGGCTTGAAAATGCAAATTATCCTTATAGTAACTATTTTAAGCAGTATTCGCACATTTACGACCTTCTATAAATATGTTCAGATCTTTTGCTGAGACCGGGTTTTAATGGGGACAAGCAGGCGAGGGTCTAGGAACCAGAGTCATCTGAGGCAGAAAATGAGAGGCAGCCGTGCTACTGAGAAGGGAAGAAGGAAAGAAGGAATGAGGGGCGACATGGGAGGACAGGGGGCTCTTACAAACAGGTTCGCCCACTTCACAAGCCCGGCCCTCGGCCAGATCCAAAGACGTCCTGATTGGCCTGCCATCATGATTACAGTGTCCCAAACACACCAACCAGAGTGAAAGATTGTAGAATGAGGCAGAAAACCACTCCAGGAGGGTCTTCATGACTGATTAAGGGAAGGACAGACTGAGATAGAAGCCACAGCCACGTGACACACAAATGAGGTCATGTTATGCAAGAACACTATATGTGGAACTGACTTCAGATAAGATCTCTTTTAAATGAAGCCTTTGGCATGCCAGGGAGGGAACTCTTACAAAGGGCTTCACGCACAAATCACCTTTTTAGCCGGCTGTTACACAGATAATTTACTACGCAAACACCTGTTTTTATCCCATCCTTTAAATACAACTTCACATTTTCCAGGTAATTAATATGGAGGGATTTGGGGATAAATAAGAATTATTACCAACAGTGAACTGTAAAACTATAAAATAGTGCACCAATCACAAACAACCACGGAAGATGGTGGGATATCCGGACAGAAAATACAGAAGTGGTTGCCATGTTCTTCTAAGCTGGTGTGAGATAGGTGTGGGAGGTACAGAGCCTGGAAACACTGGATGATGAAACAAACTTAGCTTTGGCTCACATGGGAGAGACTATACCAAACCATTAGGGAGGGGCTGAAAAGAACATTCAAGTTGTTTTCAATGGCTCCATGCCAGTGAATTAGTTGACTTAGTAAGAGATGATATCAAAGAGATAGAAAGATGTGAAATGACTTCTTCAGATTCACAACTGATTAGAAAACAAATACGTCACTAAAGAGAGATGAATCTATATGCCCTTCTGCTGGTTAAAAACAACTATTTGAAATATTATGGAAATAAGAGAAGAAAAATCTTTTTTTTAAACAAGTTCTCTCTCCCACATGCTTTGCTTAACTGGCAGCAATACCTTCAGAGGAACTGATAACACTTTTATGAGCGTTTGTATTTGAATTAAAACTCAAACAAATAGCAAACTCACATTTCCTAACAATGACAGCTGCAGTGATTTAAGCTGAATAACAAGAAGTCATTGTAGCCATTGAAAAAAGTGGAAATGATCAGATTCTTCCCTGATGGAAAATAATTTCAAAATAATTCAATTTTAGTATTTTTAAATTGCAGATTATTGATAGATAAAATTTTGAAATTGCAGATTATTGATACGCAAATATGCTCAGAATGCCAAAACTCACCATTAATGCTGAAAACGTAGTTTTTCACTATCAACTACATACTTAATGTGATTATGTCTTCTGCATAAATTGAAATCAGATAAAGTTCCACTTATGGAGTGGACAATTAGCCTACTTTTTGTAGATGCATAACTCTTGGAATAAAGTTGTTCATGGTTTAGACAATCTTAGAAAACCACTTTAGTCTCTCTGTGTAGTGTCACAAATTATCATATTAGGCCCAATATTAAGTTTTTACATTATAGCTTTAAATGTTTGTTTTCCCTTTCATGTCTTTTCTTCTTCTTTTCATTTTTTAAGAGGATACAACTGATGATAATCATGAGGTAAGGTGCAAAAGTGGCAGGAAAAACTAATTAACACTTCAGAATCATTTCTACAGCCAAGAAAAGAGATTCTTTTGAACCAGAAACCAAACTCAAGTGATTCCCAAATACTGCTATGTCAAGCCCTGACCTCTTCTTTGAGGCCCAGGTTTGTTTCCAAAGACCTGCTTGAACATGAGCCTAGAATATCTAATTGGCATCTTGAACTTAACATGTCTAAAACAGGAAGTTAATTTCACCTGTTCCTCCCTGTACTTCCCCATCTCAGTAAGTGGCAGAACGGATCTCATGGTTGCTCAAGCCAAAATCTTAGGTGTGTTTCTAGACTCCTTTTTCCTTCCTTCAGTCTTGATGTCCTTTTCATTGGCCAGTCTCATTGATTTTACTTCCCAAACATCACAGACCTATCTCCTTCACCTCCATGACCCGTCTTGCCCAAATTACCATCATTGTTCATTTGAACTACTTCCATAACTTGCTAATTTGTCTTCCTGTTTCAATGTTTGCCCAACCTCTCCACAAAGCAGCTAATGATATTTTATAAAATGCAAATCAGAACATGGCATTCCCCTACTCAAAACCTCCCATTGTCTTTGTCTCAATACATGAAGGATAAACTCCTAACTGCTCACCATACCCCACAAAGCTTGGTGTGGTGTGTCCCTTGCCTGCCTCTCTAGGACATGGCCTGTAACTGCTCCTTTCTAGTTAATTCCAATGCTAGAAGCCAACATCTTTCTTTATATTCTTGAACATGACAACCTCACTCCTGCCTGAGAGCATCTGTATTTAGTGTTTCCACCTGCTGGGAAGCTCTCTCCAGATTTTCTCATAGTGACTTTCTCTGGTCATTCAGTCTCAAGTCACATATCATCTCAGAAGCTTTTCCTAACTACTCAGTCATTCTACCAGATCCCATGGTATGGTTTCTATTTTATTTATGTGTTTATTGTCTAGTCTAACACCCTACCACCCTGAGGCCTGACCCAGATGTCTTCATTCTCCATCATCATTCCTATCACAAACCAGGAACAACGAGTCCTCGCTTCCCTCATCCTCAAACCCAGGCAGTCCACAAATCCCAATGAAGTTGCCCTTCCAGCCAACCCTCCAACCGTACTATCCTCTATTACCTGGAACTTCCCTAAAAGCCTCCTGATTCCTGTTACCAGCTCTTGCTTCAACCCAATCTAGTCTCAAACTGTACCCTAAATGATATTTTTAAAATGTAAAAGCGATCACTTGCCAATTCAGAGCCAGTCAGCGGCTTCCCATTGCACTTGGAAGAAAGTTCACACTCCTCACCAGGAGTTAAAGGAAGATTAGGCCCCTCCCAGGCTCTCCAGCTTTACCTCTGACAACTTGCCCCTTTGTTCTCCATACTCTAACCACACTGGACATTCCGCTTCTCATATTTGTAATGCCCTTTCCCCACCCCGTGTCTTCACACACGGTTCGTGCAGGACCACTGCTGTCGCTTCCCTGTGCCTGGCACATTCCTGCTCTTTCTCCAGTCTTGGGGTAAAGCCCTCATCACAGAGAAGCATTCCCTGGCCATCCCTGCTTCTCCCCAGTGCTCCCTTCAGGATGATCTGGGCAAGGACTGGGAACGTGTCAGATCTCAGTGAATTCTTAGAGTGAATGAATGAATGCATGAACAAATGAAACACGAAATAACTTTAAATACACATCAAAGAAAGGCATGAAATGCCAGTCAAAGCTTTCTCCACTTCAAGAAAGAAGGTCTACAAAGATACCCCTTGCTCTGCCAACTAGAACTCTGAGCTTCTGGGATTATCAAGATATGAGGGCCCTTTGCAGCAAATGCCTTGCCGACCCAGAGAAAACCTCTGAGAGTGTACTTCCAAGTTTATGAAGCTAGAAGGTATAAGCATGAAGCAATGACTAATTTCCCTTCGTTGCTTAGGAAAAACTACAAAGCAGTGACCCGAAGCCACATCAATCCCCGCAAAGCCTTTGAGATGTAAAATAACACACTAAATTTAGAACACAAAACTTTAGAAAGCAAACATGAAAACATGAGCAACAGACAGATTCAGGAGTCCCACTTTCTACATTCTTGGCATCTTCTGTCTGCCACCATGGAACACTGTGGATACACATTTTATCCCTCCATCCTGAGGACAGAGTAGTTCCCATACCGTAAGCACTTGGCCTCCACAAAAGTGTTTTTATAGGCAAAATGGGTTATTTTGGTTGATAGGTTCAAAGAGCAGGTGTACGTGTTAATGCAAGAATAAAGTGGAAGGCAGTTCCATTTGCTGGGCTTCTCTGAACACCAGGACTGTAAAGGAACATCTAAACTCCACAGTTCAGTAATAACCACAAGAAAATGAAGAAACCCACACTAGCCTGGTAACACTGTTTTGTCTTGCTCAGATGACTCACAAGCCAAGTTACTCTTACTTCAATAGCTTTAGTTGAGTCAGACAACAATTTACTTTCATCTCAGAGGTAAGTAGGGTGTGAGCAATACTTAATAGTATTAAAACTTGAAATACATTGTTCTCTGTCCCAGAAGATTAGAAAAAGCAGAGTACTCTTAATGAATATAATTATAAAGAAAAGGAGCAACTTCTTAATGGGGGAAAAAAAAGCAATGAATGCTTTATTGTGTTATGTTATGCTTTACCAATGACCTAAATAATTAACAGAGATTCCATTTTTACCTGTACATAGAGAGGCAACGGAGAGTTTAGGAGAGTTTACATCTTTGTTTTTTTCCCTAAGAGGAAATTTGCCTTTTACTATCACCTCTTCCAAAATGGACTTTACATGACATTAGTATCTATCTGTGTCTGGACCAAATATATACATAGTTGGGTCTAAATCAAAAGCTTCTCTCTCTTCTGCTTTCAGGAAATACAACAGATATTGTAGAAAGAGTTTGTAATTTTGTATCAGGCCAACCTGTGTTTAAACACATTTTCACTGCTTTCTAGCTGATAAATCACTTAATCTCTCCAAGTCTGCAAGTTTACACATTTCTAAAATGGGCACAGTAATCCTAAACTCTCAGAGCTGGTGTAAGGCTCAGCAGGGCTGCATTTGTAGCTCTCCTATTGACAGACTAAAGCAATACCAGACACTGAGATCCCCAGTTGGCTTAGGTTCTATTTGGGGTCAAAAGAGTTGTCCTCTGTATCCCTTAAATCCCACCCCACAGGAAAAACCGAATCATGAATCTGTGTCTGCTGGCTTACCTCTGCTGCAAATCTCACCCCGTCTACCACATGTTCAGAGCCGTCATCATCAGCAGACCCCCAGTGAAGGTGAAACTGTCGCAACCTGTAGCTTCCAGTGAGAGGACCTCCACGCAGAACTAAACACCAATACACTTTAAGTTGTCAGCAAGAAAGAAATATTTACACATGCTGCCCCAATCCACATCACTCAGAGTTATTCAACATGTCCACATCCTCCCAGGAATGTTTTACAAATGTCATTCAGTTTGCTGGCAGGAATATAACTTTCATGTATATGAGAAGTGAGAACAAGCATACTAGGAGGAATCCACAGTAGAGGTTTTATGGAACATCTAAGAAATCACAAACAGACAAACTGGTTAGAAAGTAGAAGCAATTGGGAATTTTTAAAGGTAAAGAGTTGCTCTGTTCAACAGATATCAGCCTCTCCGAATAAGGATGCGAGGTCCATTGTGAACTTGGCGGAGCAGTCTAGCAGATGGTTAGAGAATAGGCTTCAGCATTTCCAAGACCTAGGCTCATGCTGTCTTTCCTGTGTAATCTTGCACAAACTCTAAATTCCAAGTGTCAGCTATCACGTCTATGACCACAAGACAGCAGTGTTACCTCCTCCTAAAGCTGTTGTGAAAATAGAAGAAAAAGTGAACCCAAAGCACACAGTCAGTATGCTGGGCACTTTAGCTATTATGACCATTTTATCGTCGTTATTATTACTACAAAAATTGGCAAAGTACACACCTCTTCAGTATTTGAATTCTGTCTCCTTGGAGAAACCTGGAACATGGGACAAAATTAACTTTAAAAAAAAATCCATTGTATCTTTGTCAGTTTGGCAGTGTATTTTAGCACTTTGCTTCAACATATATGATCTCTAAAACTGACAATAGAATCATATCGTAAGTACATAAAAAAGCTTCTTAATAGAAAGCATAGTCCTAAACTGTCTCCTAATTAATCTTTATTTGGCAAGTTTAAAGGATATGGGAGGATAAGGAAGCTTTGGGTGTTGAATATACCATGCATATTACTCATCTCTCATCAACATTCAATAGGATTAAGTGTTAGATTGGTGAGGCGCAGCCTTAACAATACTTTGATTTAATTTATTCGCCTCTTCAGAGATTTTACATGCGTGTATATATGTCTCAATATATATATATATATATATGTCTCAAAATTTGTCAGGAATGATCCACCTTATATAAGAAGCAAAAGATGTTAGGAGGTATCACATGGAGTTTTTGACAAATGGGAAAAAAAAGGCAGAAGATAATACATTTGCCTATGGCACACCCCTCCTCGAGCTCTGCCATGGGAGAAGAGACAGAGACTGCCCTCTGTATCACCAGAACAAATGACCTCATCTCTCCCTCCCTTACTCAGTCTGACTCCGCTGAAACTGGATGTCAGTGGTTAGGAGCTGGTATAGTGGTTGGAATCAACAGACTGGGAATGGCCCCAGCTCAGCTACTAAATTATATGAGCTTTCAAAACTCACTTAAGCTACTATGGGCTCCAGCTTTCTTGGCTATATTTGTCTGTCTGTCTATCTGTTTTAAATTAGGAGTTTGGACTGGAAGATGCACTTAGTACCTAACTATGAGGACATGCATGATAAATATTTAATGAACAAATGAAGAAAATATTTGATTTGTCTTTAAACAGTTTCAAAGATGATTCACAGATAAATTAACTTAAAAAGCACACTTCCCTGTGACTCCATATGGCATGGATGGAACAGCATTCCAAATCAAAAAGAGGTTAATAACTCTGTTGCCCAATTTTTTTCTTGCTGTAGCATACTGAGACCTGAGCTGAACCATTAAGTCATCATTCCTTCACAAATAGAGAACATTAGTGAGCTTGAGTAATCAATGTGGAATTAACTTCAGGAGAGGATGCAAAAAGCTGGCTCAGGAGAAAGAAAGTGATAACAAAAGAACACACACTGTTAGGGAAACATCCAAGAATAATGGTTCAGCTCTGGAAAGCCTGCTCTGAATCCAGGGTTTAGAGCAAGATTAGCATAGCTCTGCTTAGTTAAGCATCAAAGATTGCCTTACACTCTCCATATCTGGACTGCATATCTGGACTCCACATGTGAGTGTTGTAACTAAAGTATCCAAACTGGGACTATAATCAGCAAGTGTCTTGAGAAGTCAACCTTCTCTTGGAACAGACCTCTTCTGAAAACAGGATGGGCGAAAGTAAGTCAAAATACCAAGGTTTACTTATCTCTGACTTTGAGGTAGTCTGTAATAAAACAGCCATAGTATGAAATGAATAATGGCAACAAAAATTATCTTTAATGAGAATGACTTAGTGTTTTCAAGCATCAAATTATTCATCATACTCTCCAACCCAGCTGAGTAAATAAATAATACTGTTTCCATTTTACATCTGAAACGGAGTAATAATCATTTCTTCAAATTCACAGTTGGCATTCATATATGGTCCATTTATCCTTCTAGTCAGAATTTTTTAAAAGATCTGTTCCAAATAAAGCACTCCTCTGAGAGGTCTAAGAAGATTAAAAAATGAGAGTTGAATGCCATTAAAGCTTGAGAAAACTTAAGTATCTTAATACAAAGATCCTTATCATTTGTCCTATGCTGCAAAGACCAACAACATTGTGAAACTAGAAATGTATGTGTTTCTCTATTGAATTTGACCATTGTTAGTAATTTGATAATCCTACTCACTTGCCAAAACTACACCATAGTCAGGTGCCTTGAATATAAGCAAGAGTGGCAACAAAATGAGAAAAAAATTAACTCAAAATCAACAGACTTGCCTGTTCATGCGTTTACTGTCTATTCCACTAAGATACAAACTCCTTTAAGACAGAATCTGTCTTGGTTCCTTGTATCCCCAGTGCCTCAGGCAGGGCCTGGATCAATAAATATTACTAATATAAGGTAAAAAAGAGACCTCACCTGTAGAAGCACTCCTCCATAAACTTCAGTTTGTAGGTTTGCTGCTGAAGTGACCTGAAAATTGCTGGAGCCTATTTGAGTACACATTTGCCAGGATTATACTATGAGAGAGACCAAAGACATGGATGTTCCCAGTCACTGAGGCCTGAATACTTTATGGAGCCAGAATATTATTTGTTATTATGTTTTATTATTAGTAGTTATTAATTTATTGAACACTTACTATATGACAGGAACTCTCATTTATTAAAATTGTAAAATTAGTATTACAGCCTTTAAAAACTAATTGTTCAAACAATGAAAAATCTAGCAATGTTTAAACTATTTAGGTGTCATGTGGTAAATATTAACTGATTTCTGGTGGTTTGTAATTTTATTGGGACTTCACCTGTGTATGCTAATACACTCTGTACCATAATGCCACATCATGATATTTTCCATATACTCCAAGAAACATACCCAAAAAAATGTTTTTAACTTAAACACACATTTATTGAGTATCTACTGTGTGCTAGGCACCATGCTGGGTAGATGAGTAACACATAGCTATTGCCCACAGGGAGCCTTTATAGCTGAGTGGAAAGTCAATGAACTGGCAGTTACCATGCAATTTAGGAAGCTCTGTGCTAGGACTAGCCTGGGATGCTACAGGCGTGGTGGGACTAACGAGGTGAGGTTCTCAGAGAGGTGAGATCCTGAATCTGAACAGACCAGTAGTTAGAGTGAAAACACCCTTGTCTCTCCTCATCATATTACAATTTCCCCTCTACTATAGCCAAAAGGAATTCTTCCTAAAGAATCATATCCACATGCTCCTTTTTGAAGAACTATTCCAGTCGTGAAGGTTGGCTCCTTGGGGCATGCAGCTGGCCAGCCAAAGGAGCCCTCCTCCAAGGACGAGGAGGAAGGGTTCATACCTGTGGTTCTTGACTGCGGAGATTCACTGTTAATTTCGGTTGAGAGTGGCAACCGTTTTATTGGAATTGAAGTGGTTTGCTACAGAAAGTATTTTAGTGTTTTTATTATAGTTTACCAAAAAAAAGAAAAACTAACAGCTTATTTTGTTTAACTATAGTGGTTTATTCATTTTAATTAAAGTGCTTCCATGAAGCATTCTCTTTTCGTTTACCCTCAGAAGAAAGAATGAGAATGGTGACCCATATTTATGTAGTTTCTGTCTCAGAGGGGTACAAAATGTTTTGTGGACATTTTCAATTAATTGTGGTAATTTCATTGTGATCCACATAGGAACAAGACCTCTACTTATAGGAGAGGGCACACACTACTTGATCACAGACAGTGTTCAACCTGGAAACACAGACAAACTGACATCACTGATTAACAAAATCAACAGGCAGCATGCAAATGACAGGAAGAGAAAAAGAGAGAGAGGCAGGGGGACTGGAGGAGGGGTAAGGGGAGTGGGAGGGAGAGTAGACAGACCTGGGTCATCATGGAGCAAATTAACATAGGAAAGTTTTATGACTAAGGGTGCCTAAATTTATAAAGAAAAAATGTAAAGTTTTAGATGAAGTACATCCAAATATTTCCTATTTAAAACTAGGAGCATATGTCCTCATTTTTTTTATGTTTGAGGTAATAATAATATCAAACTATGGTTATGGGTGGTATAAACTTTATACTTAGAAGTCTTGGATTACTGTTAAATATACCCATTACATCAGCCATACCTATTAATACAGATTCACAAAACTGAGAACTTGAAGGAAAGACAATTGAATACATAGAGTACATTTAAAAAGCAATGTCCTTTTCCCCAGAAAAGTTGAAAACATCATGTGTTAATTTTTATGCATTTTTTTAAACAATGCTCTGATGAAAATGTATCACTTTTATAAATTTGAAGAATATGAGGAAGAAATCTGGTGGCTTACAATTTTTGCTAACAATATAGTACTACATAAACACAGAATATTATTATTAAACTAAACCTGAGCTTCATGAATAAGTGAAAACTTTCTCCCAATTTTGGACTTTTTAAAAATTTAACTATATTTTTCATTAATACAGCAAATACAGCATCATCCTATTATTAGATTACAAATAAAAATAATTTGTCAGAAACCTGAAAAAGTGTTCCAAAATGATTCTCTTTATCTTCTCTCTCATCTTATGTTTAAACATGATACCATCTATTCTTTAGGCAGTAGGTATGCTTGAAGGATTAAATGTTCATTTTAAGGAAATGCTGTTTTCTACTTCCTTTAGTTATTAACTTAACAAATAAACTAAAGTTTTATTTTGTTGGTTCATTATTAATTCACAGTGTAAAAAACATCCCATGAACTAATCAAACAAAACTCTTATTGCAAGTTCTAGCAAAGTGTTAATAAGGAACATACAGTGCACAGTATTACAAATATGAAACATAAGAAAGTACAGTCCAAACATCCAAGCTCCTTCTCCCCAAGCAAAAAAAAAAAAAAAAACCCAACCTGATTTGTCCTCCGTGTCGTCAAAGTCAACGCTGAAGGAATGGCCACTATTACTGATGATTTTAGCCGAGCTTGCGTCATACTTGATACTAAGAGGTTGTAGGGAAGAGTCATGTATCACTTCTTTGGTTTTAATCTCAATTGGAGATTGCTGATCCCCATCAGCAATAGGGAAAAATTTATTCCAGTGAATAGGACCTTAAATATATAAGACCAAAATAAAAGGATTAAATTAGTTATTTCATTCAGCAAGTATCTGTTGAATGCAATGGACTGTGCTTAAGACTGGGAAAAAACCAAAGATAGATAAAATAAGATCTTCATTCTCAGCATCTAATTATGTTTTTTTATAAGAGTAGTTGCTTTTATTCCAAGGATGGAAACCCCTGGGTTTTCCTTAATTCATTTTCAGAATTAAACTAACCTTTGTAGACAAAAGAGCATGGAGTTTTGAAAAGTACTTTCCAAAGGTACCCTCCTATCAAACCAAAAACAACAGCACAATTCATCATTGAAAACAATGAGATTCAGCCTCAGCTCCAAAAGTGAGTTGTGGTAGGTCCAGAGGTCAACAAGCGTATGGCCTGAAAGAATTAATGGAGCTAAGAAGACTGGGTAGCAGAAAAAGGGTGTAGATCTTTAAAATACAACCCTACTTCTTCCTTCTGTCACTCACCTGTATCTTCAGGTGCCACCCAGGCCTCAACCCAATTACCTATGATATGCAACAGGCATACTAAGGAAATATGTAAAATTTTCAAATAGGATAATACAAATAAAATGGCTGCCCCACAATCAGGAAATGTAATATTGTTGGTTATCTGCAGAATAATTAGGTAACAGTTGATTTCTATTTCTACATTTCATAAAGTCCTGCTGTGGCTATTTTGCAAATGCTACACTGAATTCTAACACCAGGGACAATCATCAATCTGATCCTTTATTCAAAAAAGTCAAAACTGTGTCAAGTTCCCAAATCAGACACATGTGATCATACAATGTGAACCAATAAGCTGGCAATTCTCTGGTCTAGTCTATTCATTTTTCTGGGAGACTTGATTCAAGTTCTGTGTCTCAAAATCAACAGTAAGCTTGCAGCTTCAGGTAAGTTCCAAGTCTTTCTACAGATGTTAAGTCACATTATAAATTGGAGGTTCTTGTACTTCCTTCACCATGCCTGCAATTTACACAGCTACCTGTACAAGGTCAACAGAGCACAGGGCTGCTGAGGAAGCCTTTCTCTACTTCTTTAACCAATTATGTGGACTTCTCTAAAACTCAAGTACTTATTAAAATGACACAACATGACAACTAATTAAACATTTGTTACTAACAAATGTTCTTAAAAGATAAGATTCAGAAAGAAATTTCAAGAAATACAAATATATCACAATTATCAACAGCTTCAATCTCTAAATCTGATGCTCCTTATTAATCTTCATTTTAGCAAAGTAAAAACTCCTTCCTTCATGTATGCTTCAGGTACAAAAAGTCATAGGATGAATACATAACTACACACATAACTTAAAAAGTTGTTTTCTCATGAATCTGACTTCAAAGCACCTTGAACATCAAAAGTCCTTGCTTACAACTTATTACATTTCCTTACTTATTAGATACTCTCATTTACCTCTCTAGTACTCTTTCTGTATATAATCTTGTCCTTTTTTATATGAATAAAGTTTTCTATTTCATTGCCAGCCAAGTATGAGTTAACCTAATAACAACTGGATTTCAAATATGCAATGTATGTGTGACAACATGTGGTTGGTTTTTTTCCATCAGGAAAAGTTTCTTTCTCCTCCTAATTCTTTTACTCTCCTATTTCCAGTCCTTTTAACCAGAAGTACGTTTAAAAGCAGAGGCAAACCAAAATAAAATAAAATGAATACCATTTTATATCAATTACTCAATATTGTCTATTAACTATTGTGGTAGGTTCATTTCCCTGCCTCTTAAAGAGGACCCGTTTACAAAATTTCACCAAAACATCAAACTTTAAACCCATTTAAACACAGCTCTTAAGTAGAGATACATGGTGTTTCTTCGATTAATTTGGGAAGTTTTGAATATCCATAGAGATATGTGCTTTTCAGTGATTGTCACATTCCCTAACTAAACCAATAAAATGATCAAAGGTAAATGGAAGAAGTCATAAGATTTTTGTGTGAAGGTGGTACCCCCTTCGAGAGTCTCCCTTCTTGATGTTTCACATTATCATTGCTACTCTTCCCAGCTTAAGTTTTCTTTTATCTGCTCATTCACTGCTTTCGCTAGTCTAAAGAGAAAACAGACAACACAACGTGCTCAGTCAGGCACACAGCACATTTCCAAAAGACTTTGCCAAAGTTGATCTACTTAAAGATGAGGTCCTCAGAAATCTACAGGATCCAAAGGCAGGGAATACGATTTTTAGCAGGAATACTAAATTACTCCTTATTAGTGGCTTTTCAAAGGCGGATTTTTAAAATTTCTGAATATGAGCTTCTTTAGGGCCAGTATTTTCTAACGTATTAAGGAGTAATCTACACTCATTGATTGAAAATACCCTTCTTCCTAACGACAGTGCGGATACTGTTGATACCCAGTAACTATTAGATAACAATGAAAAAAATTTCAGCAGAGAGGGAAATTAAAAGAAATTTTTTTCCCAGACATTAATTGTAAATTAGCAAAGTGTGAGATAGTAATTATAGTCTCAGTCAAAAAGAAATCCACCTAAATTATACCTTGTTCAATAACATTTATGTTAATCCAAAGAAAGTATTATTATTATTACTACTACTATTATTATTCACAGAACTAATTTTGACAGTGATTCACTATAAGTCTATCTTATAGTGTCACTTTGCAATTATTCAAGTAACCATTTGAAATAATCAGTTCAGTTTGAAAAGACAAGAAAAAAATGCTAGTCCTCAGTCTCTGCAAGGATGACTGTGAAAGGAAAGGGAGAAAGAGTGAAGAAGTAACCCAAAATATAACTTCACTTTCCAAAATGAACCTAAAGTCTTACGAAAGCCAGCAGTACCAATGAACCAACTGAAAATTGCTCTTGGAATTTTATAGCAACAGCTATTAAGACATTTGCAGTATTTTGGTTCTAACGTAAATCCTCAGTGTTGCAATTCAACTTATTAAAATGTATGTATATTTTCAAATATTTTCCGTGATTTGTTCCCCCTAAGTCAATAATGAGCTTAAAAGACTGGAAGTGAACTTGTCTTCAGTTCATTAAAGTCTGTACTCGTAATTTCCTTGCCTTTAACTGCCAAGTAGTTATTCCTAGGAAAAGTCCTCAGCTTTTCAAAGGAAAGTGAATGGGCGCAGAAAGATTTCCGGGTCTGGGGAATCTTTTCAGGGCTAACACACCCCAGCTCTCACCCCAACTTTTAACACTTTCCAAATGACGCTGTCCCTGACCACACAGGACTGAGCCTTCCCTTCGCCTCCCGCGTTTGGCTCGGGGGAGCAGTGCTCATCTTAAAGAGGAACCGAAAAGTTTCAGCAGTGTGCGGTCTGGGGCCTCCGGGGCGTGGGCCGCTCCCCGCGCACAGCCCCCACCACCCCCTCAGCCGGAGGCGCTCACCGTTGTGCTCGCCGTAGCCCCAGCTGCGCCTGGCCATGGTCCCTCGGGTGCAAGGCAGGAGAGGTCGCGGCGGGGCGGCCGGAGGAGGGAGGGAGCGGGGCGGGCCGCCGGCGGGTGGCCCAGGGCGGGGACCGCGGGGCGCAGCGGGCAGAGGTGGGAGCCCGTGAACCCCGCGGCCCGGGCGCGCTCGGCCTCGTCCGCCAGGCGGCAGCGGCGTGCGGGGAGGACGCCCGCGCGTGGGACGGGGACCGGGTCGCGGACCGGGGCTGCGCTGGGGCTGGGGCGGCGGGTCCTGCGCACTGCGCGTTTGAACCCGGGAAGCTGATGAGGCTTGAAGGAGAGGCCGGGAGGGAGGCGGGAAAGGAGAAAAGGGGCTCCTAGGGGGATTTCCTGCCTTCGCAGGAGTCACCCCGGGGAGGAAAGTTGCCTAGAGGGCTGTCCTGGGGAGAAGTGAGTCACCCGGCCTGGAGCTGCCAGGCTAGGAGGTGGCGCTCCGAGTGGAAATGAAGGGGCCGTTGATGGTAGTGACGGTGGTGATTTTAGGTACAAAACAATGACGATAATGGCAATAGCTATAAAAATAATTTAGCTGCTATTTATTAAGGGCTTACCATCCGCCAGGATCGTAGCTAAAATGTTTACCCGTATTTTTTGCATTAGATCCTCAAACAACACTCCTTTGAGGAAGATAGTGTAAGTGCCCCAGAGTGGGGAGAAGAGGAAATGAGGCTTAAGAAAAGCTAAGTGACCCGCCTTAGGTCACACAACTAATAGGGGCCCTGGGATGTCCCTCTTGAAGAGGAACCCGAGCTCCCAGAGCAGGGCTGGCGCACTGCCCATTCATCTGGTTCCCTTCCTCTGACTCTAACCCTCTGCCCGCTGTGGCTTGGGGAGTGAGGGAACAAAACCTGGTTATTGGTACTTTGTACTGAAATTTTGCTGACCTTTTGACTCCTCAGGGAGGAAAGTTTTCGGGCCATCTTTTCCTGAATGCATGATCAGCTTGCTGCCCTAAGACTGGAAGGTGAACTAACTGCAGATTCTTGAATTCCTGTCCTGGAATAGTGTGTGTTCTGGGCTCCTAGTGAAAAATAAAGAAACAGTGTGAGTTGGGTCAATTTGAAATTTCAATGTACTGTGCGTTGTTATTTATAGACAAACTCATGCCAAGAGGTTCTTAATAGGTATGAACCTTCCATAAATATGGAAAGGTGGCTGAACTATCATTTCTCTTGTATCCACACAGCAGCACATAATGTGGTAATTCCAAGTTCCAGGAGGTATCTCTTTTGGTAACCTTTGTTTAGGAACCGCTAAATAAAGATCACTTTGAATTATTCATCTTTAGACATGACCTAAATACCCCATAGTGTACCCTAAAACTCCTGCTTCTGTAGTTCTTAATGAAGTTAGAATGCAAGAGAAGAAAAAACTTTTCATACAGCATAAAATACAAAAAATTGTATGCTTCTTTTGCATCTAGGGGAAATTCTGGGATTTCTCTTCCGTATTCTCTGTCACGACTGGGTTCATTTTTGCCAATATAATAGGGGCCAAATTTTTAAGAATAAGTTCTGATCTATATTCACTTTCATCATGGAAGATGCTACACATATGTCTATATTTATATTTATATATTATATCACACATATAATAAAGGACTGTTATCTAAAATATTTTTTTAATTTTTAAAACTCAACAATAAGAAAATAATCTAATTAGAAAATGGACCAAAGACCCTAACAGAAAGCTCACCAAAGAGGAAATACAGATTGCAAATAAGCGTATAAAAGATGCTCCCCATCATGGGTCATCAGGAAATGCAAATTAAAGCAACAATGAGGAACCACTACACAACTATTAGAATTGGCAAAATTCCAGACCAATAAACAACAAAGGCTGTGGAGCAATAGAACTCTCTTCATTGCTGGTGGGAATGCAAAATGGTACAGCCACTTTAGAAGACAGTTTGGCAGTTTCTTATAAAACTAAACATATTCTTACCATATGAGCTAGCTATCACACTACTTTACCCAAATGAGTTGAAAACTTATGTCCACACAAAAATCTGCACATGGATGTTTATAACAGCTTTATTTATAACTGCCAAAACTTGTAAGCAACCAAGATGTTCTTCAGTAGGTGAGTGGATAAACTGCGGCACATCCAGACAACTGAATATCGTTTAGTATTAATAAAAATGAGCTATCGTGCCATGAAAAGATATGGTGGTAATATAAATGCATATTGGTAACTGAAAGAAGACAGTTTGAAATGACTACATATTGTATGATTCCAACTACATGACATTTCCGGAAATGGCAAAACTGTGGAGACATTAAAGAGATCAGTAGTTGACATAAGATTGTGAGGCGGCAGGGGAAGCTGAACAGGCAGAACACAGGATTTTCAGGGCAGTAAAACTACAATACTCTGTATGGTACTGTAATGATAAATATGTGTCATTATACATTTGTCCAAACCCCTAGAATGTAAAACACTAAGAATGAAACCTCAGGTAAACTGTGGACTTGGGATGATTAAGATGTGTCAGGGTAGGTTCATCATTTGTAACAAATGGACCCTCTGGTGGTAGATGTTGATAATGGTTATGCCTGTGGGGTTGACTCTGTATGGGAACTCTCTGTACCTTCTTGTTGTTGTGAACCTAAAATCATTCTAAAAATAGTCTTAAAAATAAATAAGCAAACACAAAAATCCAATGGGGTCATGTAAAATATCATACACACACACACCACACACACAGGAGTTAGCTTGTAAGAAGTCTCACTGCCAAATTTGGGACAATTTGGCCATCAAAATGAATAATGATAGATTATAATTCCTCCCCCCAAAATATACATGAGTCCATACTGACACAGAGAGAAAGAATTCTTCATGGAAGAATGCAGCTACTAAATTCAGATGAAATGATAGAATTTTTAAACAACCATTTTTGCATGGCCAATGTTATATTTGGTTCAGGAAAAGATCAATAATGGGTGCTAAAACATTTTCATAGTTGCCATTGGGGAATAGGATATTCACACAGTATAGAATCAAGAGTCAAAAGATACAGAACCAAATGTAATGTGTGATCTTCAATTAGATCCTAGATTTGGGGGGGGAAAGCTCTAATAGATGCTTTGGAGAAGTGTAATAGTTGAATTGCAGAAATGTAAACATGGACAGTGTATAGATGTTACTTTTCGTAGATGTGATGATGGTATTGGGAATACTTTGGGAGATAAATGCTAAAGCCATAGGGGTCAAGTACCTTCATGTTGGTAACTGACTCTCAGATGTCTCAGGCAAAAATTGATGAATCAAGCTGAAAGACGTTTGGGTGCTCATGATACTATTTTTACCATTTTATTGTAGGTTTTTAATATTTTCAAAAAAAATTGGGGGGGTACAAAAATCTATTCCCTCAAATCAATGAACCCACTGATAACCTTTGCTAAATAACCTTTTATAACTATGTGTGGGTTCTCTCCTTAACAAAGAGCCTCTGTTCTGGGTTCCTAACCATCAAGTATAACCATCTGGGTTCCTAACCATCAAGTATAAACAAGTAAAGGAAGGCTAACTCTGACCTGAGAATCCTGACAGAGGATATGCTCATCATCTCCTCTTCACTCCTGAGCCGGATAGATCCAGTTCAACTCCCTTTGCAACAAAGTATGCTTAAGCCAGCCCTCCTCTTTAATAAATCAGATGTATGTTACTAGCAGCACTTGCAGGTTATAAAAATTCTAGTCACAAAAATACTTAAGCATAATAATATATAAAGGAAATATCAAAGTATGAATTAATTTTTTATTAGAGCATATACACAGAATTTTCTCTGAGATGCATATTTTTTCAAGGTTTTTTCTTAGAAACTCTGGGTGTGAATCCAAGTGCTATTATCATCTGATATTTTACTGAGCCAGAAACTGAGATGAGCAACCAACGTTCCTCAGTTATCTTGAGAGGAAAACCACACCACTGTGGACATAGCGCCAGTCTGCAGAGTCCCAAGTCCAAGGAGCTCCTCTGTTTCTGCCCATTTCCTTCACTCATCAAAGCTGTGATTTACTCAGCTGGGACTTATTAACCACAGGAATGCCTTATCATTTGATGTCTTGTGGAGAGTGATGATTTTATGGATCTGCTACAATATGGGGTTTTGGTTTCTTTCATTTCCCATTCCTAAATTTATCCTATAAAGTTAGGATTGCATAACCCAGTTTCCCAAGGAAATTGCATTGAGAAAGCCGAAGGGGACTAAGGGACTTGGCTCAAGTCATCTAGGTGTCCTGCCAGGATGAGAATTCTCAGGCCAGAACTGAAAGGGTACCTTCAATGAATCACCTCTTAAATCACTTATCAGATTATAACTCCCAGAAACTAGAGCCAAACATTTCATTGTGTATGGTCAAAGAAGAACCTACATTACTAAAACCCTACCTTCTACATTTTTATTCTTTTGTTTAATCTCGTAGCTTTTTAACAGATATCTATCCACACCCTATTTTATAGTGTTTCATATCTTACTTGAGCATATAATAAAGTAGATAAAGCATGAAAGAGAAAAGGAGCTAAGATTATTTAAAAGGAAATGAAGTTGTATAGACACCGATTAGTTTTGAAAAGCCAGATAATTCAGGGCAAAATAATTCAGCTATCAAAGCATTTAACTAACTATTCATTGGCTTGGAATGAATAAGCCAGTTTTACTCTACTGCTGTCTACTCTGAAATATGACAGAATCAGGTTGCTAATAGACACTAAGTTATCAGCACTTTTACGGTTTATTTACTCCTCTTCCATCATCTCACCTCTAAGCAAGTCTGGATATACACCCGCTCCAAGAAGTTCCCTATCTGGGTACCACCATTTCACCACTGAAGACCTGGTGCACTTGCCCTGCACACCTAGCAAGACTTCCCACTCCCACCAAACCATTATATTAGTTATAACCTATGTCACTACCTCCATTCCCTCTTCATCATTGCAACTAGCATACTAACATGTTCTAGAATTTCCTCTTTTTAGAGGGAAAATCTCTCTGTGAACATACACAAAGCTCCCATTTGCTACCCAGCCATTCTTTCTGGTATTCCTCGGGGTCTTGTTTCCATATCCCTGTGCTCTCCAGAGAAACAGAACTATGCAGTGTATGTATGCGTG